TCTTGAAAATTGAGGTTGAAAATGAGGCTGGGAGAGTAATGAATTTGCTGCATTGTCTTGAAAAAATGAATTTCAACCATTTTATTCCTTGATGGGTTAAGATGAAATATTGTCTTTGCTAAAAAAAAGTTGTTTGTAATCTCTCATTTCTCTTGTCAATTTTGAATCCACTAGGAGTAAACTTGGCAATTTGTAAAAAGTATTTGAAAAAGATGAGAATGTAGTTTTGTAAAGTCAGTATTTATGGTTATTTATAAGGTAAATGACTAATATACAGTATAAGGTAGCCATAAAAAAACTCTGACACCACCATGATGAAGTGTTTTAAATTTGACGGACTCAATTAACAACAATTATTGCAAGAGATGCATTCAGAAATCGATCGACAAGTATTAATAGCAGCATGTGAATTTCACCTGTGAAAGTTTTTACTTTACTGGGCCTCACTGAGAATTTTGCACTTAGGAATTTGCAGAAGTATATCAACATGATATGTCAAACCTTCGCTACAGTCTGTTGAAGAGCCAAGGGACTCCTGGGAAACGGAGCACTGTGTAAACTTCCTGTGCAGAGGTGCACTTCCTTCCTACTGTCACTGAAGCATGAGGAGGGTCCTGAAGATGACAAATGGAGGCTATCAGATCTTTCGTCCAGACCAAGGTGGGATTCATGACTGCCTCTTCATGAAGCGCCCATTCTGTCCCACCCCTCTTTCCCCTGTAATGAGAGACTGAAGTGGTGTAATTGCGTCTATACATGAGGCGGTTATCAAATCACACAGGATTACATGTCACATTTGACCTGTATGGACCCAGTTTCTGCTCAAAAGTGTGATTCATTCCACAGAGTTTTTATCTGTTGTGTGAAAAAGAGCAAGAAAGAGACAAATTGTTAGTACTGCTCAATTTCCATTTTCTTTCTGTATTTCTATCTCTCTTACACCTATTCTTACTTTACTCCCCTCTTTAGCTGTGACAGTCTCCCTTCATGTGGGAAGGGACTGTTAATGAATGTGGATGAGCACGTGGGAAATGTGTGGGTTTCCACCACAGCTTTCTCTCTGAGTGACAGAAGCTTGACAAGGCTTTAGAGGCTGGCTTAAGAGTTGAAAAAAGCAAACAAGGAACAGCTTTTTTCCAGATGGCCACAGCAAAATAGAGCACAATATACTCTGCAAGTTTGTGAAGGCAACGTCTGCCTGAAGTACTATAAGTCATTTTGAGAAGAACAACTGTTTTTCTGATGGAAAACAGTCTGTTTATATAAAATAACAAAAGTCACTGGATCCAACTTTGTCTGTTGAATTTGTAATAGGCCTCACTGTTGGTCACAGCACTCAATCTGTGTTTCCATAAGTGATAAATACAAAAGAGAAAAATTCCTATCAAAGCTATCACGTCTGAAGCATGAAGAGGATAGAGTAAATGTTTATTTTGTGATTCTTCCTGGTTTGCTAAGGTTGCTTCCATCAACCTCTGTTCTAATCTGCGAGTATCTGGTATGCACTCCAAACTAAATTGCTGTTTATTCTATTCTGTGGGTGTCAAAGCCCCAGCCTTCCCCTGAATGCTATCAGGGGAATGAGGGTCCCAGGATGCTCAACTCTGCTGCTGACACAACACTATTCCTGAAAGACCCGCCGCTTGATTTACCCAAGCAAAATGTCACAGTAATTGTGAAGATTTATATCAATGGGAAAGAGCTGACGAGGTCCTACAGCTATCAGATCTGACAGACTTAATATGTGCTCAAATGTTGCCCGCGACACTAAAGGCTTGCAGGTTGACCAATTTTACCGGGAATGTTCCACCTCAGATGGTATTGACCGAGCCGTCATTTTTCACTTCTGTAAATTGAGTGTGAAGTGGAACTTTTAGGTTGTGAAATTGTGTTTTTAATAAACTGGAATCACTTCAAAAACATTTTATCGCACTATTTAGCTATTGCCTGTGTGCCATCTCAGATGATATAATGAAAAACAGACTGACAGGTGGTTTGTAAAAATAGGCTGAATGTGTGCTTTGATACTATCCTTCACTCCCTGTCAGAAGATATGTTAAGATAAAATGAAATGTGCATTGTGTAATTGTTTTATGATGTTTTACACAAACAAAACAAGTGAAAAGGTGGCATGCTGTAACGATACTGTCAGCTATGCAGTGCAGTCTGTCACAGAAGTGCTGTGGTGGATAATGATGGTAATAGAATAATAAAGGTGACGCAGTGGGTTAAACTTTACAATAAGGCATTGGTCAAATAAATATTTAGATAATTAATTTAAGGACCGGTACAACAATGTAAAAGTACTCCATCACAGTATTAAAGTAAAAGTCTTGCATTCTTACTTTCTGCAGTAAAATAATGAGGTGACTAATACGTTATTATATATTACAATATCAGATTTTTAATACTGATGCATCAGTGTTTAAGCAGCATTTTACTTTTGTAGTTTCTGGAGGTGTTTGGGGTTGGGGGCGCTGCAAAAACTTGAAATGTAATTTTGCAAGATTGAAAGTAAATTTTGACGGTAAATGCCTTTGCCTCCAGGGTTCCAGCTTTTCCTGTCTTTTACAGACCATCTGTTTCGGAGTTGCAGTTTCAGACCAGAGCGGGACAACGCTGCCAGAAATCATGTGACTCTCAAGCTCGCAACTGTGTGGGCAGATCTCTGAAAAGTGGGTGTTCAGCTCTGCAATACGAGTGCACTTCTACGTCTGTGAAAGTTTCTAGTTTAGTACAGTTGGGTCTATTCCAAAGGGTCACAAGATAAATTGAGTTGAGTTGTGAGATGATTAATGGAGGCAGGAAATCTGTTCTTTTTTTCTATAACCTTTGGCTTTTTGTGAATTATTGAATAATTTGAACAGTTACCTAAATGAAATATCTGTAAATGTAATGGAGTAAAAAGTACAATATTTTCCTCTGAAATGTAGTGGAGTATAAGTAAAGCAGCATAAAGTGAAAATATTCAAGTCTACATATAATTATGTATATGTCGTTTTGGGACTATCGACAATAAACCTATTTTGCTGTGGTATGAGGATGTGTTGCAGTTATCAGTGTTCCTGATTTGTTCTGTTCCTCTGTAACTACTCAGTGTTTCCTGAACAACTGTTGCCACATAATTATTAGAATACAATTTTACTTATTGGTTGAATCTAGTATTTGTAATGAATGGTTGAGTCACTAACTTCTATCTTTGAATGTTTTATTGAGCGTTCCCTCTCAACAGGCAATATTTTTCTTTGAACTTGGATATGTTTTCTCCTTTACTTTGATTGGGAAGGTGGCGCATTTGAACCTCAGTGGCACCTATGCTTAATAGATCATCTAAAAGTATGTGTTGTAGTAGCTGGAATGAGTATCTATCCCTAACGTAGACTGCAAAATCCAGATGGCATTAAAAAAACACTGGCCATGAATGCATATTGAGGTTCTTGTCTAACAATCAACATCGAAATATCCAATCCTGGCTGGTCTGTTTTTAGTTCTTTCGTATGTGTACATAACTGTATTTTACATAAAACAGCAGGCATCATGATTTATTAGGCCAGCACTACTTTCCTGGATCTGAATCCTGCCCATGACCTTCATCACATGTCATTATTATAATCTTTCTCCCAGTCTTTGCTGTCTGACTTCACTTACTTCCAGTACAGATGAATCATGGTACAGAGTGCAGAGTAGTCTGTAATACCGTGCTGGAAACAAAACCTTGATTTACAGAATGACAGGTAAAAAAACAAAAGTTGTTTACAAGTCACGGTTCACCTAAAGCTGAATAATATGTACCTATAAAATAAAATAAAAAACGTTACAAGGTTAACTTCTCCAAAACAGTGACATTTTCAAAAACTATTAAACTATTAATCGTTCACTGTATGGATGACAGAAATTGGTGGGTACCACTGGATGACATTATTAAGCTTGCCAAAAGCTGTATAAAGTTCTGAGGGTGCCAATATTTGAGGAACTTCATTTACTGCATGTATTAATTAACCCCTCCCTTCTGCCCCACTTCAAATGTTACTAATTGACTAATTAAAATAGGCTACTAATTGCATTTTTTAAATTTTATTAAACAACTGAAAGGCATCCCACAATGAAGTCTTTGCTTGCACAACACAAAACATTGAGAAAAACATGAATCGCTGAGTTTGAAAATTTGAGTTTTTAAATGTATGTATTTTCCTCTCTGACAAAAGTATATTTTATTGCAGACACAATGGTATTCAGTTTTATAGCAGTTTGTGACAGGCAACAGCTCATCAGATGACCTATAGACGCTTCTTAAAATGTGCTTTGCTTTTTGTGCAGAATGATGTATGTGCAGAGTTTGACAGTAGCAGGCTGTCACAAACTTTAAACCTCAAGTGCACAAACACGGAGAATAGACTTTTCAATTGAACTTTTCAAAGGAAAAACCATTTTTTTCACCGGACAGTATTTTTAGGTGCCTTAATATGTGCCCAGAGGGGATCTTTAAACTTCTGTCCTTGATTACAGTTTTCGCTTCATTCCCCTTTTACTTCGGTTTGTGCACAAGTGCCACTTCTTTTCATTTTATAAGGTTGATTCTTTCCTTATGCTGCTATTCAGTCATCTCAACTCTTGTTTAGTGTACCTGCTTGTAGTCAAGTGTGCAGACAGAAAGAATGTACTTGCTAACTCTTTTTGATGCTTCAGAAATTTTAACTGAAAAGGTCAGCATCTGCACCATGTAGGTACAATTTTTCACATGCGAACTTTGTGTCCTCCAAGTAAGAATGTTCTGAAAGCAGTGAGTCACAGTATTTTCATCCAAGTGTAGTATGTCATTCATTCAACAAAGGATTTGATTTTTGGTCTTCAGCCTATCCATTTGTGTCTTTCCACCTTTGAAATCAGAGCAGGCAGGCAGGCAGGAAGGCATGCGAGACATGTGCCTTGCTTTTAATGGGTATCACAAATGCTTCAGTTATTCCACTCCATCTGAAACGTCCCTCCCCTTGAGCACACTCCCAAATTACAGCTATGGAATGAAGCTGGGACTCTTTGCTTTGCAGAGTGTTAGTGTTTTCCCAAGCTAAGACGATCGGAAAGATTCCTTCTGTGGGCTTGCATCATGGAGGCTAGCAGTCAATCCAGTAGTCAACAGATTCTGTGGAAAGATGTGAGTCCAATTTTGTTGTTTTTATTTTTTAATTGTTTCATTTATATAATAATAAAAAAACTATTTACATTTACTGTCTTCCGGGGGGGGGGGGGGATTTTAGGTCACTGCAGTGTCAAGAAAATGGGAACACCCTTAAACTTTTACAGCTCAATAAATTAAGTACAGGTGGCAGCAGTGGTGGTTTGAGGGGAGAGACAGAGGTCCTGTGATATTTGAGTGTAAGCTTTAAATAAAATGTGTCAAATGTCTGCCTTTTTTTAAATCAAAAAGGAGTGCTGCTTGATTTCTTGCAGAGTTTTCTCAGAAAAGTAATTTTTCCATCTAATTCCTTTTGTCTGTTCTCCTTGGCTTTCTTTATTTATTTTTTACTCTTATACTCAGTCTCACCTGAACCACTGTATTTGCTTTATATCTAGAATACCCTTGATTCCCCAAGACCCCAAGAATTGTCTTTATTTGAGACTTCAATTTTAAGGAAGGGATTTTTGGCTCTGAAAGAATTCTTACATATTCTTACTCTCATATTTCACTTGTTAACAATAGAGCCATATGGGCAAGTACTTTCACAGCACAGTATTAGTATCTTTTTACATTATGCATATGAAATAATACAATGTTATTTTACTGTCCAAAAATGGGCAACTGTCCCAGCAGATACACATCACAAATACATTGTAAGTAATGGATGGACAATGATTATGGTTAAGAAGTCACCTGTGGCTTCTTATTTTAGAGTAGTTTTCACAGGAATTCAAATGCTTATATGAGCGTGCCCCATTGTGATCAACCATTTGCCTGTGCTTGTTGGTTTTGGAGGCTACTTCTGTTTTCTCAAAGAAGTGCTCCTTTTTTCGTGATAACAGTAGGGGGCTCTGGGCACTCTTCCTCACAAAGCTCAAGAGGAATTGCCTGGCTGATTCTGAACTCCTAAACCTTTAAACACTAGTTGGCGGGCACTGCACACTCAGACTGCTCACTCTGTCTCCATCCCTGCCTTTATTTCTGTCCGTCTGTCTGTCTCTCAATCCCACCTTCCTCCTCTGAGTATTTGATATTCAAAGCACTGGCAGAGAGAGGTTTGTCCTCTAGTTAAGTTTCCACTGCTTATGCAACCTGACATAGGAGAGCAGAGGATTTCAGCCAACATTTTTTTCTTCACTCAGAGAAATTCAAAATGTAAGGAATTTCTGGCTCTATGATTGTAGTCCTGTTTTTCATTATGCCTTAGGAATGTACAATACTTTGATGTGTCTCAGGTTTTTGTGGCCACTGTTTCTAATACGTCAAATAAAGAATGGTAAAATCTAGAAGTCATTAATGGCAAAGGCTTAGTTTAAGTTTTGAAATGGGTGATTGTGAATAATATGTCGTCTGTCCTTCCCCAAAGTCAGGCTGATAATGTATTTATTAATCCGAAATTCAATCCATATTCAACAAGCTACAGAGTAACTACTATGCCATTACTACTGAATCATATTTCCTCCTGTAGGTCATAACATCTACATACTGTATTTTAAAAACATTTTAAAAAGCTATATGAGTTCTATAAATCTAGGAGACAAAGACAATTTTGGATAATTATTTTAACAGGATACAAGCCACAAAGACTTGTACAAATAATTACTACAAATTATTTAAAGAAGTCACCATGTCATAGTGCTGTCAGATCTACTGCAGCTTAACTACTGTTAACACCCACGGCCACAATAGAAAATCAATGCTGCTTTATTGTCATTTTGAAAGACAGGAAGATAAGTAACACCAGTTTTGCTAATTGAAGTTGGTTCCAATTTTTTTTTCTTTAACATATCTGCATATCTGCTCTCCTCTGAGACCTTCAAAAGTGGTCCAGTGTGAATGAGAAGCTTTCATTTTCTGCCTACTGGAGCTGTGGTGGAACAAAAGACTGTCTTTATTAATTTGTGGCCTTAAGCTTGGGGAATTGACTACGGTAGGCAGAGTTTTCATTTGAGGAAAAGTTTAATAAACGTAACCTTTCTGTGGCACTTGTAGCAGTCTGTCCTTCCTTGCACTTTGCATGGGGATGCTTAAATTTTTCAGGAACCTCATTGGTGGATACATTTTGCATTGACCAAATCAAATGGCATCTCTTTGGGTTAAATGCAATACAGATAGAAAGGAAAACTGAAAAGAAAGAAATATACATTTTTGTTATGAAAATTATAAATTAAAGCAATAGTTGGAAATTTTGGGAAAGGTGCTTATATGCTTACCCTGCCTTTTGCCCAATGTCAGCTGGGATTGGCTCCTGCCTCCCGCAACCCTGTACACAGGATAAGCAGTTGACGATGGATGATGCTCTGTATAGCGCCTTTCTAGTCTTTTCGACCACTCAAAGCGCTTTTACACTACATCTGCATTCACCATTCATTCACTGAGCCTAAGTGCTCAAACAGAAACTAACACATTCATACACTGGCAGAACAGCCACCAGGGGCAATTCGGGGTTCAGTATCTTGCCCAAGGACACTTCGACATGCAGCCTGGGGGAGCCGGGATTGAACCGCCGACCTTACAATTAACGGCCAACCCGCTCTACCTACCGCAGCCACCCCCATATGCTTTCTTGCTGAGAGTTAGATGAGAAGATTGATACCACTCTCATATATCTGTTAAATAGAGTTGCAAATTGGGAGGAGCTATTTCGAGGCCCCATGATGTAAAAGCTCCATACATTTTCTCATAGACAATGATACATGACTCACAGTTGGAGCTCTACTAAGGCTTGGATGGAGATGAAACTCTCCTGGTTGTATCTTCGGTAAAAAAAGATGTACAACCACATTAGAATAAGTGTGGTTCTTTGATCAAGTACAAGCCTGTGTCCATAAAAACTTTGAAGGAGAAATCAACTTTGACTCCAAAGGTTCATTTCAGCAAGAAGCATCCAGTCAAAAAGTTTAAAATTCTGTTACATGTGCCACTAATGGCAGGTGAAACCATAAGATTACACTGTTGAGAAAACTGAAAATGCAATTTTCAGCTTAATTTAACTATGACACACAAAACGTGATAAAGTGTGCTATAGGGTGCACTTCCAGTTATAAAGTGCCCTCTAGGGGGCTCTTCCAGTGGACAAAACGTGATAAAGTGTGCTCTAGGGTGCACTTCCAGTGGACAAAATGTGATTAGGTGCCCTCTAAGATTCCCTTCCAGTGGACAACACATGATAAAGTGCGCTCTAGGGTGCCATTCCAGTGGACAAAATATGATAACATGCCCTCTAGAGTGCCATTTCAGTGGAGAAAACATGATCCAGTGTGCTAATGGGTGTTCTTAGAGTGGACAAAATGTGATTATGTAGCCTCTAGGGTGCCCTTTCAGTGGTCAAGACGTGATAAAGTGCCCTCTAGGGGGCTCTTCCAGTGGACAAAACGTGATAAAGTGCGCTCTAGGGTGCCATCCCAGTGGACAAAATATGATAACGTGCCCTCTAGAGTGCCATTTCAGTGGAGAAAACATGATCCAATGTGCTAATGGGTGTTCTTCCAGTGGACAAAATGTGATTATGTAGCCTCTAGGGTGCCCTTTCAGTGATCAAGACATGATAAAGTGCCCGCTAGGGTGCATATATAGGCTACCATATGTAATATTAAACCTACATTGTTTGCAGGTTGAGGCAGGAAAAGAGAAGAAGGCCAAGTACCATACCTACCAGCGAGTCGCTCTGGTTCTGGCTCTGATCTTCCTTGTTTTGGCTGTCTGTGTTTTCAGCCTGAGATATCTGTGGAGCCCCAGTCTGGGCAAGGTAAGACTAAATATCACCTCTTTGTTTGTCAGCCTTATTGCCACTGTCCTTGCTAAGTGTGGTATTGATGCAGTAGCATAAGGTAGTAACAATGGGCCCCAGTGCAGGCTGTTATGATGGGCCCTTTACAGTTACGAAGCACATGCACGCAGTGCGTTCGTGTCTAGAAGGGAACCCTGTATTGGCAAATTTGTGTGCCTTATTTCCTCACTGTGCATGGTTTAACAACTGATAAGATTAGATGCAGTAATTACCTAACCTCCTTCATTTAAAGCTCCTTAAATCGATTTCTTTCCATATTAACATATTAAATTAAACAGTTCTCTTTGTGTGGGTCTCTCTCCAACACATACACACACGTTGCTGCTGTGTGCGCCCAGACGCAGCAATCTAAAGTACCATCACGTGATTGATTTTAGAGTCAGACTGTGTCACCTAGACTTTTGTATTTGCAAAGTACAGAAGTCAAAGAGAAAGTTTCAAGGAACATGGCCGGTGCTGTCATTGTTAAAATCCTGAAACGTCACTACAAACAGCTGAGTGCAGGGGAGGTGTCCACTGCAACAACAACAACCTTTTAAACAGGGGCACGGCAGTCGCACCAAATCCCTTGAAAAAGCACTTGTAAAGTTACTCACCTATATGAATGGCATCCGACGAGCCTTGCATTAGGCAAAATCTTTGACAATGTCCTCAGTTAAAAATCCAAAACAATTTTATTTGGGAGATTGCGACCCTCTACTCCTGTTCTTTTCTCTCCTGTCTCTTTTTGAAACAACTTTTATGTTTGAATGGCATGACTGCTAGCTTGCACGTGTGCTCTGCTAGTCTACTTGTCAGATTTTGCATTCACCCGGTGTCTAGAGTCTTATGGTCTTGTCACATGATCAAATAGAAACTTAAGATTGGGCAGCCATACAACCCAGCAGTCATCACTGCATATGTGGGCTATGTGACACAAATACTAAAGAAAATAAGACTAAATTCATTCTGTGGAATCTGTGGGATCATCTTTCACCATATAACTTATAGCCTACTGCTTACAGACTTTTTTGGTTAAAACTACTGAGTGCAGTCCTTCAAATGTCTGTGATGTCAGACACCACGGCAAAGGGGGAAATGCACGTTGGCGTGTATATAAATCACTTGATCTCCATAAAGAGAGATTTTCGGTGAACTGGGTGTCTACTGTTAAATGATGATACCAGATGCAGATGCAGTCCAGCTTGTAACCCGGCGGGGGCTGCTTCCGTCACGGACCCCAGTGCAGCTGCACTGTTTGCACTGTCTATACCTACGCCCCTGTACTGATGAGAGACAGATGAAAGACTTTTCACATCAGCAAATCATACAGGTTACATCAAAGAAAAAAATATGTGAGTGGACGGCCACACAAAGAGCCAAAGGCGGTCTCTGCAGGCTGTATTGTATTCTGCTAGATTAAAAGATGTGTGGGCTATGGAAAAGACAGCTGTGTTTTGCTCTGCGCGTGTTTTGGCTGTCAGATCTGTAATTTCATGAATTCTTGGACCAAACCACAAACCGCTTTTTACTGTTTCAAAGGTTTGGCCTGTTTCATTTGTCTACTTTCTGCTCACATTGTAAACATCTTCTCACAATGACCGATCCTGATAACTCAAAACTGACCCTAATTGCTGTTGACCAGAGTGTTTGCAGTAGGACTTAAACTTCTTGGCAAAGTAATTGGGATAAACTCTTGTCCTGGCAATTCATCTTGTAAAATCCAATTCAATCACACTTGATGGAGAACATTTTCACTCTGCTCCTTTCCCCTGATTTTCCCAGGGGGCCAAAAAAAGCTAATTTACCCAAGCTAGAAGGAAAAATACATCAATAATTTCACACCCAGAAATTGGATGCACTATACATCCTGAGCACAGTTGCGAAGTGATTACAATGAAATGATGGTTAGAAAGGAGCACATATATTTCAAACCTGAATGCATTAGTCTGTTTTCTGTGTACTGCAGATGCCATGAGGTGCACAGAAGGCAATGTACCATGCAGGATGTTGTAATATCAACATCTTTGTTATGGCTAATAAACATTAATTCAGAAAACCCAGTGCCACTATTCTTCTATTTTTGCTTCCATTAAGATACAAATTTCAATTGCAGACATTCACCTCTAAGCTCAGGTTAACCAAGGTTCAACTTCTCTTTCTATGTAGATGGTATTGTCCACGTTCTCTCCTTTCAACATAGATATGAATCACCTCTGAGCAATCTCCTTTGTCCTTGTTAAATATTTCATGCCGGAGGTAGAGCAGTCATTATTTCCACTTTAATAAGCTGTGATCATTCTCACGTGGCACAAAATGTGTTGATGGCAGAGGTTGCCCAGACGATGAATATCAAACCTGCAGACCCTGGGTTTTGCTTTAATGGGGTCTTGAGGGGGAGGCTCTTTCTCTGGCCTCCACATCAGTGAGTAAGATGGCGCCACTTCAAAGGAGAATCACCTGTCTGTCAGATGGGAAGGAAGCTCCCTCAGACACAGTAGGACTGTAGAACTCAGGTATGTATCCTCAGCAAAACTATCTGGGGACTACTCTGAAGGTAAAGAGATGGATTGAGTAGCTGGACTGATGGATTAGTTCTCCTGTATCAATGTGGCAATGTGTTCTCTTAGTTTAATTATTTCCCCAGCTCCAGACTGCCTGGAAACTTATTAAAACCAAGATTAACAAGAGAGTCCTTATATAACCACAACAAGAGCAGTCGCATCAACTGACCACCTCTGCCAGCTGACTTGGATGCTCTTGAAAGAACTATCAATATTTCTATATTAACAATGCACCCTGATTATTCCACCTTACTATCTCTGATGACTGACAGCAATGACCAGAGACTGTTCTAGTGTAGTCTTGGCTAATTGAACGGTGGGACAAAAACACTTATCATAAATACTAATGAGATAGAGGAAATTATTTTTGGTCTTCCTCCTGATTGTCACCTCCCTCCACTGACTAGTCACAATGTAGAAATTAGACAAGTCTCTTCATAGAAGTAAATGAGTGTTTTGGTAGATTTAATATTTATTTGTAAAAAGATACAGCAGCATGTGTGAAACTAAACTATATAATAAAATCCAAATTTGTGCTAAGATTATTGGCCAACCTGTAGCACACTCTTTACAAGCAACTTACAAGAGCATGTTTGTACTTGCTAACAGTATCTTCTGACTCCTTGCTTCTTTTACACATCTGAAGAATTTAAAGTTCCAGTGTGTAATATTTCTGACGATCTAATGACAGAAATGCAATATAAGATCCATAACTATGTTTTCAGTGGTGTATAAAGACCTTACATAATGAACCATTATGTTTTTATTACCTTAGAATGAGACATTTATATCTACATAACCGCGGGCACCCCCTGCTGTGGAGGTCTCTGTATTTTGTCGTCATGTTTCTACCGTAGCCGACAACGGACAAACAGCGCTACAGAGCGGGTTTTGTCACTACGGCGTTTTCTTCTGCTTGTGTAATTCCAGTACTGTAGACGCACATCACCACATTGCATACATACAAAGAAGAAGATGGACTAATATTAATAGTATACAGTCTCCAAGTAGTCTTCTGGTTTATTAGAAGTAAGAAGAGAAGTGAAATTTGGACAAATGAAGGAGCACACCTGTTATTTAGCATGAGAGCCGACAGCCAGACGGGACAGACAGCTGACGGCAGAAATCATGGATTTTGTGGATTTTCCCAGATGGAAGGCTATAACTTTAATGTGGGACAGATGTTTTCAAAGCAGAGCTGAAGTTGTCTGTTTTCTGCTGGACAGGTAATTAACTTTGTTTGTCAGATTTTAGCATGCAAATGAAAACTGTTGTTTGATAGCTTTAGCTGTTAGCTGGCCATAATCACAGAGAGCCGTGACGTTTCCCCTGTCAGTGGTGTGAAATATGGATTAATTTCATGTCGCCTACTTCTTCTCCAGCCTGTGGTTTGGCTTTGCTGGTTAAATTAGCGAGACATTCAGCTGGTAGAAAAACATTTATTGTTAGTTAGATTGGTTATTATCCAGCGCTGTGCTTTGGCTTGTGGTGTTTTGTTAGTTGGATTAATTTCATGTAGTTACACTGTCTCTCTCTCCAGCGCTCTGTTTTGGCTTTGTCTGTCGCTAATAGGCAATGTAATGAAGCTCATGTCAGCCAGCTAAACCTTTACTGCGCTGGTAGAAAAAATATGTAGTTGGATTGTAATTTCATGTAGTTCTTCTCCAGCCTCTGTCATGGCTTTGTTACATTGACAGAAATGTGCCATTACCTTCGTGAGACAAACAGCTGATGAATATTATTGATAATGAAAGGGCAACAGCAAGGAAGCTCAGATCAGCAGTTAAACTTCACATTTTACTGCCCTGGTGGAAAACATGTATTTGTATTTAGTGCTAATGGTGATATATAACAAGACCTGTGCCTATCAAGTGACCAATAATGAATACTTACCGAAAAAAACGTTATTGGATATTGCTTCCCACACAAATATGTATATTGTACTTTCACATGCTAAATTCCCATTAAAAACGTTGCACCGTTTTACCACAAACTGGGGGGTGCAATTCGCAACCCTCACCACTAGATGTCACTAAAACTTGCAAACTGAACCTTTAATGTGATATATACATTGTTCATCACAAAAGAAATATTTTTGTGTCTTTTTCATGTCAACGTAAAGACATTTTATTTTGTTCAGTATATTCAATTACTGCCTGTTAAAGTAGGATGACTTCTTAATCTAATTTATGCGCAGGATTCTCATGTTCAGTCAACCTAAACTGCTCAAGTAGATCTCACACCATTGAGTTATAATACTTAGACATTTCTAGAATCTGATATCTGAAGTATTTTGCACATCATTACACACCTGGTTTTGTTAAACATTTTAAGTACAACATTTACTAATATGGCAACATGCAAAAAAGCACTTGCACTAAAATAACTTATATTTGTTCAAAGAAAACTGTACAT